GGAAATAGACATTGTGATATATGTTTCAAAGAGTATATGGAGCTTAAACAAAAACCAGAAGTTGAAAGCGATATTTATACAAGGTTAGCTATTTATCGATATGAATTACAGATAGAGAATCTTATCAATAGAGTTAAACATATTCGAGAAACAGCAAAAAAGATCTAAACATCTACAACTATACAGAGGAGTATTTTTACAGACCCGAAGGTATGTGTGCAACAGAACTTGCTCAACATTATAAACTCCTATGGAGTATTTGAGAAGAGATGTGTCAAATTAACAATGTATAAACCGTGTCTGCAAAGCAATTTATATATTTATTTGATTTAATCTATTTATTCAATTTATTAATTATATAACTTATTCATATATATATTTATTTAAAATAAAACCACCTAAAGTATTCCTTGAGGGCTAGTACTTTAGACTTTATTTCGTTATCTTTTCTAAAAGAAAGCTGGTAACATTTTTTACTTTGAATTTTATATATCAACTCATTTTTATCTGACACAAAAATCCCTAGTGTTGATAATAGATCATGCTTGTTATTATTATTGCGAAGCAATGGCTCAAAGAGCCTACATATCTACTTAAATTTCACATTGGCTGGAGACAATCAGCTTCTTAATAGAAGTGGCTAATAAGATGTATACTATATTGCTGTATTAATAGATAACAGAAAAAATAATTATTTGAATGTCAAATCTTGGTTTATTCATCCAATGTCAAAATTTTTTATCCCAGCCTATATGAATCACGGAATCCAATCTAATATTATGTTTAGTATCGGTTTTTTGCTTAATAGGAAGTAGATTGATTCATCAGAAATAAATAGACATTTCTTTATATTGAGAACTAATAAATTAGAACAGTGGTATGCAATTTCATATATCGTTTTATCAATGATATGAATATATTGAAAACCAAAATTCTGAATGTTTGAACATAAACGAACTATATTGCATATAGCACCATCTGTAATTCCGTAACAGGAAGTGAGAATAAGTATTTGCAGATTTTGATTTATCTGTGCAATTTTTTTGATTGATTTATTAGTTATCTGTTCACATTCTTTGAAAAAATAATTTCGCATATCTGGACAACCAGTTGCAATCGCACATATAGCCTCATCCGTAATTATTTCATTAAATGACAAATCTAGATGTTGAAGATTTACACATGAGCGTGCAATTGCACAAATTGATTTATCATTAATAGAAGGTTGTCCATTGAGGTTTAAATATACTAGATTGGAACAAGATCGTGCTATTTCAATTACAGATATGCTGGAAATATTACTATCTCTATACAAAGAACTGATATTTATGTATTTTAAATTTGGACAAAATTTTATTATTTCACTAATGCATCTATCAGTAATAGCTGTACACGCATCAAGACTCAGATATAGTAGCTTCAGACAATATTTTGCAATTTCTTTAATTGGTATCATAACTTTGATCAAGAATAAGAAAGTTTATATTCGGGCATAAGCACAAAATTTTATTAAGTAATACATCTGAGATTTTTAAACCCGCCAATTTGAGATACACCATCTTTGAGCAATAGAGAGGTTTTGTCTTTTCGCATATAGCTCTTTTAAACTTTCTTAATTACCAATAAAGAGGTCCAGATGTATCTTTACTATACCGATTCTGCTGATAACTTTCTATAGAAAATTCAATATGTCTCCATAGAATCGAAGTACTACAGTGATACCAAAGTCTATTAACAAATAATGCTGGATAGAGTGCTTTATCCTTAGCCAAGAAACTGAATATATTTTCAAGTAACTCCAGAATAAGAAGAGGGTGAGTCATATTTAGTTCTTTATATAAGCACAGTTTGTACAAAAAAAAAATTAAAAATTCATTGCATCTCTAAAATCTCGCTCTATTGCGGGGCAATGGTTCTTTGGCATGAGCCGGCTAAAATGCCAAGCCTACTCATTAGAAAGATTAAAAGGTTGGTCTCAACCTTTGTGGAGATATAGAGGGTCCTCTTTTGCTCTAGTTAAATTAATAACAATAAATTCTTGACCTTGTAAATTTTTATCAAGTATATCAACAACATTGCATCATTTTTTTGTATATTGTCGGGCAATGTTAACTAGCTCATTATAGGTACCACTACCATTGAAGAGAACAATATAATCGAGATTTTTTCTTATTAGTTTTGGACAGTCAAAGAAGGATTGTGTAGTATATATATTACTAATGTTTTTATGACGCCCTTCAGTAAAGTAACGAGCAATTTTTTCTTGTATTTTTTTAGATTCGGTACACACATCTTCAAATATAGCAACTGTTCCTCTTTCAGGAGAGAAGTCATCAACTTTTGGCATTTTGTTGGGTTTTAATGCTCGGAATGTAATATCTTCACAATATGGCTTTGGGCTATTTGAAATTATTCGGTAACAATCATGCAAATGTCTATATTTTGGTTCCTTGAGATGATGTCTGATCAAAACCAAATCATCATTCTTAATGTATCTCATTTTTTGCTAAACATTCGAAACATCTTATTCCCAAATAAGAAACTAATAATTATATTAGTTTTTCCTGATCTAGTTTGCTCTGATACTAATAAGTTGAAAGGCCACTGAGGTGTACTATTTAATGAGTTAAATCTTTCCAGATTTTTGCATTCGTCGATATTAAGTACGAATATTTCACATGGATCAAGCTTTTCTATTTTCATATCAATCAAGCTAAGTCACTAATTATTGCTTTGCAGATATAAAGTATCTATATCGAAAAATAATAATCTTATGAGTTTATTCTTTGTGTGATAAATAATCTCTCTCTTGTAATTTGCTTTTTATATATGGCAATAAATCAGCAGAGTAAGGAATTTCAATGAGATCTATACCTTGCTCCTTGCATATATTCCGCTTTTTTTGGTCGCATAATTTTTGTAAATCTAGGTCAGCCTTGCTATTGGGGTGAAAGTGTTTTGGAACAACATTAAAATGTTGGATGCCCTGGAATTCGAATGCTAATTTTAGCTCTTCGTTATACCTGTCTAATTGCATTCCATCTAAGAACTTAGCCCTGCATGGTGGAAATTTCTTACCTAATAGATTCTCAAAAATATATCTTACGTTTCTCTCAGTGGTATGATGGCATAAGGGACACCATTCAAATTTCATAGTTATTAATGGATATGGATATTCCTACTGATGCTTCCCGTTTCCGCAGGACCAGAGATATACATTCATTCCATTTATCTGCTGAGTTTTCATAATACAAACCCCACCTCGTTTCTCTGCATAAATTTGAGCCTGAGATGCTTCAGAATTTGGTCAGTTATAGAACATCATAGGAATAAGTATACTGTATATAGCAAAAAATATTTATTGGTGTGTAAAATCGTTAGAATATCAATTCTACAAACTTGAAATAAAATCACTATTGAATATTTGATATATTAATATTAAGATCCAAAAGATCAATCGATTAAACCTAGTGCAAATAGTTTATCTCGAATAATCTTTTCTGGATCTTTATCGTCATACCAAATATAAAAGAGATATATGTCGTTCTCGTCGCATAAGTCTTTCTTGAGCTGATCCTGCTCTTTTTGTTTTTTGAATTCCTCTTGATTTTTATGAAAGAATAGGTGGAAATGCTTATGTTGGACTTCTTGGACTTCAATAGCAAAGCCGAAATCATAATAAGGAATATCAAGTTCTAATCCTGTTAGGTGTTTATCTGTTTTCAGAAAATCAGGTCTATGTTTTTCTGATGGTAGTGTGTCTAATAATTTGCTAACTATTTTTTGACAAAGTTCTTGTCTCTTCCAAGGACAAAATGGACACTACGAATCTTGAATAATATTATTAGGCACAGCCATCCACATATGGCCTTTTTCGCATTTCCAGTTTAAATGAGTATTAGTATTGATATATGCAGTTGATAAACATTTTTCACCCGCTCTTTGGCTATATTATTCATATCTTCAAGAGTTTTACGTGTCGATGAACATTCTGGACACCAATGACCTTTAAGAATACAGTTAGATTCTGTTATCCATTTATGATCTTTTTTACACTCCCATTCTAATTTTGTATGCGCGCCATAATATTTATCTGAAAGACATTTTCTATTTCGATCACGAGCTAGACCCTGCATATCAATTATAGTTTTATTTTGTCTGCCACATGTTGGACACCAATAATTGCGATCTTTCACTCTATTTAAGTTTGTAGAAAATATGTGGCCTTTATCGCATTTCTATTGTAGAGGGGTTTTGTTATCTATATAATCTGAAGAGAGACATTTACCATTTTTACTAAGTGCTAAAGCATTTGCAATATTAATGTTATTGTGGTTACATTTGCGACACCATGTATTATGATATCAAACACTATCGAGATGAGCAAACCAGCAATGGCCTTTATCACATTTCTAATGCAAAGGAGTCTTGCTGTTTATATATTTAGTTGAAAGACATTCGCCATTTCTACTACGTACTAAGGCAATAGCATCATCAAGAGTAAGTTTTTTTTGAGGGCATTTGATAAATTGATTGCAATGTGGACACCAAGATTTTTTATTTTTAATGCGATAAAATGGGCAGACCATTGATGCCCTTTAGCACATTCCCAATCAAAAAGAATTCTGCAATTTATATATAATACTGAAAGACATCTTTCACCTCGCTTTCTTGCAATTGCACAGGCATCGTATAGTGTAAACTAAGTTGATATTTTTAGAATATATTCTAATAATTAATTGTTAAATTGTTAGTTGGTTATAAATTTTTAGCTAATATACTATCTGGAGGATATTGAAGCTTTTCTAAATCTACTTGAAAAGTTCCTCACGTACAAATCCACGCGTTGGTGTGAATTCACCATCTAAATAATATAAGATAGGTTCGTTTTTTGAGACAACGATTTTGCAGATTTTATGAAGACTTGGTGAAAATGTCAGATCTGTTGCCCTTTTCTAATTTTCCATACCTCCTTCCTACTCCGCATTAGCAAGCAGGTAACGAACTGTATTACCTTTCTTCAACCTATTCTCCTTATATTTCCCAACAGGACGTTTATATTTTATAGATGGCCTAGATTCAACCTTTTCTAATTTAATGGCTTCTATTGGTGCCAACCCCACTTCGAGGAGCCAGAAGCTCTAATGAGGCGCGTAGGATAATTATTAAGATAATCTATTACTTTGGATAAATGTTTAACCCATACTCTTATTAATTTAGGGTCTGAAGATATATTTTCAATGCTATATTGAATCTTATATAGCATTTCAGCTAGAGTTTTATTAAATCTTTCCACAATTGCTGTACCACGATGGAAATAACTCGAATTACTACACCATGTTCCTCCATTATTCTACTAGTCTCACCCATTTATTCCCGACCATTATCTGTTTGTAACAATTCAGACCAGGTTAATAGGAAATTATAGCTATTATATATTTTCTTAAACGCTTTAGTAACTTCTGAACTTTTCTTCGATATGAGAGGAACTGAGGCCTTATATCTTGATACACAATCCACTATATTTAATACTGCTTTGTATGTCTTTTCTTTATATTTGTCATGTGTGAGAAACAGTATATCAGCCTGGTGTACACAATTAGGACGTAATATCCGATCATAGCTGGCTCTAGTGATGTGTTTTGGAGGAGGCTTATAAATTTGGTACTGTTGTTGACACTCCAACTACTCACGAATTTTTTTATATAGGAAATGGTAGCCTTCATCCTTGATAGCTTTATATAATTTTCAAGCATTAGAATGGTAACCGGTGGGGTTATAATAAATTAACCGGCAAACAAGATCTACTTTCTCATCAGGATCTATAGTAATACTAGGTTGGTATATTTTTAATGCATTTTACTATATCAATAAATTATTATTTGACAAAATTTCCAGAAGTGTCAATATATTAAAGGTTTGTACAATGCCATCAGATACAATAGTGTCTCCACCTAGTAAAACAATCAAAAAATTTGAAGCTAGTTTGCAGATAATAAAAAATTGATTCTGTAAATTACAATGGGATCTAGACTTAAAAAAGAGTTACATTAAATATCTCGAAAATAAAATTTTGATTCGAGATAGAGAACTGGATCTATTATAACAGGAAATTTCTGATATTAAAGAACGGTTAGAAAAAACACTTCGAGATTCTAAAAGCTGAGAGAATTATATAGACTATTTGGAAAAGCGGTTAGTAATTTTTCAAGATGAAATAGACAAGCTTAATGAAAAAATA